AGCTGCTCGGCGGGAGAGAGGTTTCGAAGGAGGGTGTTGTACGCGAGAAGAGACTCTTGGTAGTACTGGTTCTTGTCTTGGATGGTGCCTTTCGTCGGAAACGGTAAGCTTCCATCGTAGTACATCCAGATTTGCGCGGTTGTCGCGAGGAGCTCGAATTCGAAGCTCCACGTGTAGAAATCTTTGCCGTCGAAAGGAACTGATGTCTTCAGCTTTGAAGTCAGAACGAACTTGGTTTGCATTATCGCAATTGCTTCTGACTGTGTGCGATGTTGACAGTCTTGCGTAGGAGCTGAAGCTTGACGGTTGTCAAAGGTAAATGACCTCTCAGAGTTGATGCGGCGGTCTTCTCCAGGGAGAGGGAGTCCAGCAACTCCACGTGCGTAGCTCGAGCGATCGATGCTCATGGCTTGATGGCTCTCAACTACGTTGATGCGGGCGACCAGCTGCTCAACGAGAGCGGCGCTGACGGAGGTCACCGCTGATGGTGCTGTGGGTGTTGATGGTGGTGGGCCCGGAGAATCTGCAGTCCCCTTTTCAGGAGCCATAGTGATGCAGAGTATGTGATGGTTTAACGAGTAATTGATAAAGAGGTTGTTCTAGAAAGAACGAGAATCTTAACATTCCTTATAACCCAGTCTAGCTCTCATACCATGTTGTTATATGTGAAGGATCGTAGTTAACAGAATAAGGCTGTTAAGTTTAAGGAAAGACTATGAAGTCTCTGAATGACCTTGTTGATAAGATTGAAGGAGAACAAGATGATTAAAGGATAGTGATACAAGGAATAAATAGCAATCCTAGCCAGCCATGTACTCTGAGGGGTACATTCCCTTATTAACCGATTTGCATTGCTACAGTAACCACGACTATTGCTATTCTTGACAGTTACCATGTTGCAGCGCGTAACTACCAAGTGCGGTTACTGGGCAGTCAAGGGTCACGACTGTTGACTGTCTTTGACTGTTGACCTTCGGGTGACCCTCGACCTTCCGCATGCTCTATATGAGCTATTGCGATAATGATACATGCGCGTTACTTCGTTATGGAGTGACGCGCGAATGGAGAGCCTTCGGGAATGTTACGATAACCTTTCGGTTATTCCAACATTTGTGAACAGCTTAAATGTACTGGTACTGTGCGTATACTGGTATCTGTATTGTTTTGTGCTTATATCTGTATTGTTGTAAGTTGATAAGAATAGCTGTTTCATCTACCCCTGCAATATTGTGCTTGAGTAACGGGATCAAGGTTCATCAATGACATTCAGTTGTCTCACAATTGTTGTCTTATCAACCTCGACCAGAGTTCTCTGTAGCAAGCATTTCAACCGAACGCACTCATAAGGAGAACGCAGAGGACGATGCGATTGGCTGCTCATCCCTGACATGTCAGCGGCAAACAGCGAACTTGTTTCCCTTCTTCCGTGAAGCTGACGACTAAGGTTTTGGAGGGTACAACGAGAACTTGTTTTCGCTTGAACCCGTCTCAACCGTTTCATAGTGTACATCTTACCGCTCTGCCACGGACAGGATCTTACCAAATTGCATTGAAGCGAGAAACTCGACACCAACACCACCCAGCCGCGTGCAAGTGGTTGATCTTACTCAAGTGCAAACCATACCGCGAATTTGTCGCAGTAGCCGAATAAAGGAAGTAGCACGGAGCCTATTATTATCACATACTTTTAGATTTTCAAGAAGCGCTCATTCATTATCTCATAGTTTTCAAGGGACATTCCGTTCGTGGGCGCATACAACAAGCATGGCTGGAGAGGCGGAAATCTCTGGCGTGGCATCAGCACTTCCCGAATTCGTGAGCTTGCCGAAAGGCATGGCGGTCGCTCGGCGCGCAGAGCTGCATCCATCCGGCATCGCCCAGCAGTGCAGCACCACCTACCCAATGCTCGAATCCCATTTGAAGAAGGTGAATCGATCTGCGCGCCGCAGTGCTTCATCCCTATAGTGTTTCCCAGAAATGCAGCGCGCTGCTTCAAGTTGAGTCACGACCTATGGAGGCTCGTCGCATTTGTTACCCCCATCTCGATCCGTTCTCACCATCAGCTGTTGTATAGTGATGAATATCGGCGGATCTTCTTGCATGTCCCTCTAAACCCCACGTTTACTATTTCCACACTTACGTAGCTTTCTCACACGTTCGCTGTTCTGTTTTCCGAGTTTCTTTAAGAGGCAAGAGACTGCCTGAACCACCTTTCACCCTCCTCACCTTCCGAGTTTTCCGTATTTCTGCCAGAGCGGAGCGGAGAGGGACGGCCCTTCTTACTGCATCTACTATTCCTTCACGCCTGACCACACCCGCATGGAGCTCGGCATTCCCTTCAAGCTCTCCTCGCCAGACAAGACAGGTGCGATCGCTTTCCTCTCAGCTCCTTATGTGACGTAACATTCAGAGAATTCTTCTTCACCATTTTGGATATGTCAAGGAGCTTTTTATCGTTGCTGTGTGTTTTCTTGCAATGAAAGAAACGGATTGTTCTCTTGTTCTGCTCTCCGTCCATGACTTCTTGCATGCATGTAACTGAGTTGGCATTGGGGTCAGTTGGAACCTCGCAAAACCTTAGGATGATTTCAGCACCTGGCTGAGTTTTCTGTTCTGCCCTATCTCCTCATCCCATAACCCCAAATCTTCAGTTTCTGACGATCCTAAAAACGCCATCATTGTGGTGACCCCCCCTGACATAAAGGCAGCAGCCGTGTGGCACATTGGCCCGTACCAGAAACTGGGGAGAGCGTACAAGACACTTTCTGAATGGATTCGCTCCCAGGGGAAGCATCCAGGCAGCCTTATGCTTGAGGAGTACTATACCGGTCCAATGCAAGAGAAGGACCCTGCTAATTATAGGACTCGAGTGTACATGTCTTTGTCTGATAACACCATGGGATCATGACCATCATGTACCATAATATAGCTAAAACATGTGCTGGCTGGATCCTGCGGCTAGGATTTGGCCGCGGAAGGTGGCTGAGAGGATGCTGGCGATGGCGCTGCTGTGCGTGCTGAACGATGCTGAGGCTCGGCCAAACTTCTTGTGGTGAGTGTTTCCGGAGCTGAGGCATGTGGGGCAGTGGGCTGGGGCGGAGAAGAGGAGGCGGAGCCCCGGGCAGGAGGAGAAGCTCGTGTGCCCGCTCAGTAAGGTTAGACTTGGGCTGTCACAAACCATGCTTACCCTACAGGCTTCAGGACTCAAATAGCACAACATATCAGAATGTAACAGCAACAACAACGGGACATGACAGAAAACCGTTGAAAATTATCTACAAAGATTTACACCGAAGTACATCACCTCATTAACGCGGATCAGTGAGGGACGCTGCTATTGGCTCCCCATTCTCGCGATGTCAGCAGAGGCACGGAAAGGAAAGTTGCCATGAAGCTGACGACGAAGATAAACCGTCTCCGATTGGTTCCCGGTTTGAAACGTTTTGAAAAAACACAAGCCGTTGCGCACCGCAAACAATCTCCCCAAACCATATGATGCTGTGTGAGTCGGCTCGCAGCTGCCCAATCAGAGCGAAAGCTCTGTTCTGCGCTGTTCTGGTAGGGGTGATGCGGCGTGAGTCCGGAATATTACCCGCGCGATGCCATTCGTGAGCTTGTAAGCCAAGACAAGAAGTCTCACGAAGTAATTTAGTTCTCCCGCACGCGATTTTAGAAGTCTCACGAAGTTATGCTTGTCCTCTCGTTTTTTTTTATCTACTTTCACTGTCCTTCGTTCGTGCGGCCATACCATGGCTGGAGAGTCGAAGAACTCTGACGCGGCGTCTGAAATTCCCGAATTCGTGAGCCTGCCGAAAGGCAAGATGGTGGTCGCTCGGCGCGCAGTGCTGCATCCCTCCGGCATCGCCCAGAATTGCAGCACCATCTTCCCAATGCTCGAGTCGCATTTGGAGAAGGTGACCGTTTTTTACACTTTCGGTGCGCTTTGGCTCATTCCCTGAAACGCGCAAATAAGTAATTCTGGGGGTAGTGATTCTCACAGCAACGCAGCGCCAGCAGCAACTGGCTTGAGTTACAGCCTATGAGGGCTGGTCAATCCGTTTCCACTTTTCCCACTTTTCGAGTCTCTTCAGAATGACCCGTCCTTCCCCACCCCCTTCCGTCCTCTCCTCCTATTATTGCCAGTGCGGAGCAGAGAAGGACGGCCGTCCTTATTCTATCTACTACTTCTTCACGCCTCTCCTCACCCGCGTGGAGTGTGGGATTCCCTTCAAGCTCTCCTCGGCAGACAAAACAGGTATGCTTGCCCGTCTTCCTTGAGTCCTGTAGCAGTCTAAAGAAGCTCTCTCCACAATACATGGTTCGCAACTTGGGCACGCTAAGGAACATTCCATTGTAGCTGCGTTCTGTGATTGAAAGAGTGCGGTATGTCTTTTTTTGTCCTTCCATTTTGTAACAAATGTACCTTCTGAGGCGTTTGAAGTGATTGTACATTCTAGTTCCATAGGATTTCACACGTTGTCATGTTGAGTTTGCCTGATCTCGTGCGCTGTTCGATTCTCCCCCTTCTTATAAACCAAATGTGTAGTGCCAGACGACCCTGCAAACGGCATCATCGTGGTGACGCATCCTGAAGTAAAGGCAGCAGCCATGTGGCACATTGGGTCGTACGAGAAATTAGGGGACGCGTACAAGGCTCTTTATGAATGGATTCGTTCACAGGGGAAGTATCCAGGTAGCCTCATGTTTGAAGAGTACTTCACCAATACAACAGACGAGAAGGACCCTGCTAAATATAGGACTCGTGTATACATGTCTTACTCTGATGGTTTTCTGGAGAGCATGGGATCATGTACCATAACATAGCTTTACTATGCATAGCATCAATGTGCATTTTGCAATGAGTTTCTGCTTTGTTGCAACTACTTTTGCAATGTAAAGCTTGTTAGCAATGCGTATCAACCAAATCTGCAATGCACCATGTTGGGGATCGCTGTAACTAACAAAGCTCACTCGCATCACTGAGCCCTGGCTGTCCAGTTTCAGTCAGAATCCAGCCCGTAGCCCTGAGCAGCTTGCAATGCCTGCACCTCCCTCTCCTTCATCAGCATCAGGTGACTCAGCTCATACAATTCTGCATCCAATGATGTCTTCTCCTGCTCCAGTGCCCAGAACCGACCCATCCAAGCCTCCTTCTCACGCAGCATCAACCCCATCTGTTGCTGCACCTCTACCAATTGGCCCTCCAATCGCTTCACCTGCATCTGCTTCGCTTGATTATCTTCATCCATGGCCTTGAGCCTCCCGTCCTTCCATGACAGTTCCCTCTCCAGCGCTGCAACCTTCGCTTCCGCCTGCCTCAATCCGCCTTTTATTTCCTCCACCTCCCTCCCCTTCGCCTCCAGGTGAAATTCCATGCCTTGCCTGCTCTCCATTGCCTTGGTCATCAACTCATTCAGTGTCTTAGTGTCAGCAGTCAGTTTTGCAATCTGCTTCTCCTTGACATTCACCTCTTGCTCTTCAGCCTGCAATTGCTCTCTCAAGGCATGGATCTCAGCGCCCCGCACATTCGCAGCTCCCTGCATCTCTTCAATCTTTGACTGCATCTCCTGAATCATCGCTTTCAGCTCTGATACCCACTTCCCCAATTCTTCAGCCTTGTTTCTAGATTCTGCCAGCTCCACGCCGACTTTCTCCTTCTCTTCTTGGACCTCTGAGATCACTGCTCCTAACACCTTCTCTATCTCTTTCACAGCCGCATCCTTCTGTCTCTCCATCTCCACAAACCGTGACTGCAAATCTTCAATCACCTCTTCGCTTTTCCTCTCCCTTTCCTCGCCAGCAGTCTTCAAGGCAGTCAGGTCCACAATCTCTGCCTGCAATCGACCTACCTCATCCTTCAGCTCGTTTCTCTCCATCGATAAACGGCTATTTTCAGCCTCAGCCGCCATCAGCTCTTCTTTCGTCTGGCTGACCTTGTCAGTATGATCTGCCAGCTCGCCTTCCACAGACTTCAGCTGCAAAGCTTGAGCTTCAAAGGAAGCCTTGAAGGACTTGAGCTGACCTTTCAGCGCCGAAATTTCTCTGAGCTGATCCCCCATTAGCTTCTGAGCCTCGTCTATCTGCAAATGACAACGAAGCGGAGATAAGGGAACATTGCTGGGAGGAGAGAAGACCTACATGAAATTGGTAAAACGCGAAGCAGTGGAGTCAAGAATTGCTGCTGAAGATGTCTACTTATACCTGTGATGCCGGAACAAGCCCTTTAATTCGCCAGCCTCCTTCTGCATCACCCTCGGCTTGCATTTTCAGAATCTGCTGATGCTGTTCCTGGAGCTTTCGCTCAGCCATCCCAAGCGCTACTTCTGCTTCTCTCGCTCCCTCCAACGCCTCATCCCTTTGCTGCTCCACAATTCTCATTCGCTGCTGCTCGCTGTTTAGAACGGAACGGAGTGATTCCAGCTCAGATGAGAGCATCTCTTTATGAGAATGAAGAGACGTAAGTTCAAGTCGTAGATTAGCAATGATTTCCGCGTCCTTCAAATCAACCTGAAAGGTTCAAGAGAACACGTCAGACACTCAGAAGCGATGAGACTGAAATGGACGGATGCGCATCCCGAATGTCCGTTCACGCGTCAATGTGTAATTTACCTCGTGAAGGGTCTTGTTTGCCGTCGAGCTAACAGCAGATTGAGGCTCGGCTTGTGAGCGAGAAGCATTTGTACCACCAGCAGGACTCTGATAACGGCCATCCTCTGTTGCAAAACTGTTTTCAGCAGACGGTGTAGCTCTTTCGTCATCAAAGTCTTCCAGCGGTATCTCCGAAGTGCCCGGTTTCCCTCCCTCCAGATCAAATACCTTTTGCTTCAAGATTTTATTCCTCGAACGTTCCTCCTCAACGCGATGCCGTAGTGTACGTATCGTCTGGTCCTTCGACAGCTTCAGCCTGTTGGTCTCTGCTAGAAGCTTCGCAACTTCCTTCTTCCATTCCTCGTCTCTCTTAACGAGTAAATCAGCGACCTCTGTCGATAATCCAGATTTCCATTCCCCTACAACGGATGCATCGTCCTTGCTCATTTCTAGCATGTTTGAATTTGGTGTCACTGGTTCAGGAGCAGATTCTGCCGGAAAGTTGTCACAAACTGAATCTGTCGAGTCTCTAGTCTCGTCGCTTCCTGTGTTCCTGGCGCTGCAAGGCACAGACGAGTACGTCCAGCCACCGATCCACGGAGCACCTCCAGTCTCCTTGCGTACCGTAACGTGACAGAGGATGTCACCTTGTCTTCCCATTGTTTCCATGCTTACGGTGGACTATAGGAATGGTTGAAGGACGCTGATTGGACAGATGTAACGTGGCTAGAAAGATTGACTATTTCGTCGTATCAACTACGAAGCCATCGGTTTGCTCGCTAACCACATGATGGTGGATGTCACGGCTATGACAGGCAACGGAGTATCCAAAACCTCAAGCCCGCTCCGTCCGACACGAATGACGCTATCCTACTTGAGACTTGACGTAACGATGCTGTGCAACTTCGCCACTGACGTGGTTTTGCTCACCACTCCTCAGGAACCATTAGTCCCTGTCATTAAAACTCTAACTAGACAACAGTATCAATATTCTGAAATCACAGCGAAGCAAGTAATTTCCTCAAAGCTTGTTCCTCTAGAGTTAGCTGATGGACGAATATGGAGCATCAGGCAGGACGGATTGTTGGTGTTTCATGCTGATCGACAATGGAATCGTCAGACTTGACGGCTCCATGATATCGGGAATGTGATTGGAAGAAAATAGTGTCGGACAGTCAGGAATATGTGCTTGGCTAGAGACGCAAGGGGAAATAACAGACGGACAGAAAGACGAGGGGATACTAGCAGACAGTCAGACACTGTTGACCGTTTGACACGCTGATTGAAAGACAGCTCCACAAGATGGAATTTGAACGGCAAATTCGAGAGACAGTTTGCCCGGACCGCCACATTATCCACAAACTGACTGACGCCCTGACAGAATTGGAATTCTGGCGGGAAAACCTTATAGACAAGCTAAGGGTGTATATCGCACCACATATCATTCTTGCTCAATAAAAGCTAAACGTCAGATTGGAGCAGTTCCATTTTACTTGTTAATAAGGGAAGAGCCACTTCGTATTATTTTGTTTCTACACATTGCCTGACACATCCATTCTCTAAAAAACAAAATCAAAATGAAATATAAGAATTGAAAACAAAAACACAAACCTAGTACGAATCAATCCGTGCCATTTTTTGTGATTGCTCGTCGCCCACATCCTCAAAGACGAAATTCTCTTCGTGAAAGTACTTCCTTACTAGGTCAAGTGCCCGTCGTCGATGTGATATTTCATTCTTGGTCTCCTTCGGCATTTCTGCATAACTGCCACAGTGAAAAACAGGCGTGAATGAACCATGATCAGACCATTAACCAACAAAACCAGAACATAGTATAGGAAATAGATACCCATTTGCAACCATAGAGTAATTAACTTACGACAGAACTCACGTTTGCTCAAAACCATCAGGTTGAAACACAGGATCCCAGCCAAAATCCTTAGGGCCTCTTGCAGGGACTATCTTGCCCTGGTGGACACAAGCGTAACGAAATATGGGCTGGTTATTAAGTCAAAGGATACAGATAAGAACTTTCATCTATGTGGGTGTGTGGGTGGAGATGTGTTGGTGAGTGCATGTGTATGTGTATGTGTGTGTGGGGGGGGGGGGGGGGGACGAAAGGGGGTGGGAGAAGAGGGGGAGCAGAAGGTGGTGTGGTGCGATAAACTTGCATTATTGACTCACCCCTGCTGCATTTTGGCAACCACACTACAGAATGCATTTTGGTTTCTAGCTGCAGCTTGCACCACTTCTCTACCCCATGTCCATCCTTACCTCTGTCCTTCCAGCAAAGATCGACGGTCCATGCTGGGGGCCCAAGAAGAGGGAGAACATCCAGAGTGCGTAGGAGGACTTGTCACTTGTGACTGGCTTTCCCTCTCTCTGCCCCTCATGATACACCTCACCATCCATACCCTTCTACACCGCATGCCACACCTTCATCCATACCTCTGTCCTACTAGCAAAGTTCAGGAATTCATGTGTACCTCCATTCACACCCTTCTAAACCGTATGTCATACCTCTGTCCGTCCAGCAAAGCTGAGGGGTTCATGCTGGGGGCCCAGGCAGAGGGAGAAGATGCAGAGGGCATAGGCGGACTTGTCTTCATATGCTGCCAGTAGGTTGTTCAGGCCTGGTGAGAGGACGATAAGAACGGGTGGGAATGGATGGGAACAGGGGAAGGGAGTACCCACAGGTTGGCACTCCTAGACAGGTCGGTGGGTGCTGTATGGTAGGAGGTCAGCGATAGAACCACTAAATGTACTTGCGAATGTGCCATACTTCCAAAACTGTGTGTGAGGGGATAGAAAACTGTGAACGGCCGACTAGGTGTGAGTAGATGACTGCTTGTGACAAAGAATGTATGCATGGGAGAAAGCAGACTGCAAGTGAAAACCACGCGCACATGTGACAGGCACAAAAAGAATACAAGGGGTATCGGAAAACGAGTGCATGTGATTGAGAATCTCACCTTCATGTCCGGTCTTGTCCAGAAACCACTTTCTGCAGCCACGCATGCAGTCAACCATTCAGTTAACCATTCCGTCAAGCATGCAGTCAACCATTCAGTTAACCATTCAGTTAACCATTCCGTCAAGCATGCAGCCAACATACAACATCGGCACAAGAACAATCGAATTTCACTTGTACACGACAATATACGACCCTCCACACACAGGAGCACGCAGATGCAGCATACATACCACACCATGACGCCACGACACCACCACAACCACCACACCAGCACAAAAGCACCATATCACAACATTTCACACATACACACGACACAAAGAGCAACCACAATGCCTCGAGTCTGAGCCCGCGGAAATAAAATATAAATGAGACGACAGAAAGCAGAAGGGAAGCAGTTACGAAAAAAAACAGAAGCAGGTAGTCTTAAATGGCACATACGCCTGGAAAAAAAAAAAAAAAAAAAACACCAAGTTTTTTCCAGACAAGGAACGGAAGGGGGAATGCGAGGAGAGAGGGCATTGTGAGGACTCGCAGACAAACAGTCTGCTTTCAGTTGAATCTGTTATAGTCACAATAGGCTTGAATGTGCCTAAAACGAAAGATAGAGAGCACAGACGGATTTCTGCACAGCGGCTTCAAACGTTGATAGCGTTCTGCTCACAGCTGCAAATGACTTGATTCAAATTGGATCTGGAGCGTCTTCACGTCGTCTACAATTATCAATTTAGATTGCACGATTTGATAAAGAATTGACGACACAGCGTCGGTTTGAACGAACGGTACTATGGCAGCCACTATAGTCTTAGAACACAAGATAGGAAGAGTTACGAGTTGGGAATGACTCCCAGCTCCTACAAACCCCAAGAGCCGAGGTACAGTGATGTGGAACAGTGCCACACTGTCCCCAACCACGAAGGGTCTCGAAACTACCCTTCACTAGGGCCTACACCAAGTGAAATGTTACACTACACAAAGTAATGCAACTATCTTCAATATCTTGAGGTGTACCCTTTTGGCAAGCTTCGAAATCACTTGAGGCTTGACACCAAGGCTCGGGCTCTTCATCACAAACTCATCCTTGAGTTCTTGATGGGTTTGCTGCACACACCTGCGACACGCCGAACGTTCGACACAGGACAAAATAGAAACCGCGCACGACAAAATAGAAACCGCGCGCGAGACACAAACGACCGCGTAACACGCGTCTAGCGATAACTCGCTATTGACTCGACACACACACTCGACATCATGACTCAACATTCACACACAATTATAAGCATGAAATATATATTATCCCATGCCCTCATACCATTCCATACACACACACATTCACGCACACGGACAACAAGCCGAGTGCAAACCGTAGGGTTGCACCAACAAACTCCCCCTCGGATTGTTGGCCTTAGGATATGTTGCTCTCTCAGTTCAGAGCCATCCCAGCCAGCTTGCAACACTTCCAATGCTGCTGCTCCACCAGCCTCTTGGTCATCATGTCAGCCGGCTGCCCCGTGGTCTTCACGTAGCGCAACTCAACTTCACCCGCGGTTACCATGCTCCTCGTCCAATGCCACTTCACCCTCATGTGCTTCGTGAGTCCATGCAACACAGGGTTCTTAGCAAGAGCAATGGCACCCTGGCTGTCACAGTACAGTGGGGTAGGTCCTTGCTGCTCCTCCCCCAATTCAGCCAACAAACGCCGCTGCCACACAATCTCCCGTACGGCACGGAAGAGTGCCATGTACTCGGACTCCACCGAGCTCAAAGCTTGGTCAACCTGCTTCTTGCTCTCCCAAGCAGTTGGGCCTCCACCAACACAGCATATGAAGCCTCCCACACTTGTCATGTCCTCTGGTTCTGATGCATATGAAGCATCCGAGTAGGCGGTGAGGAACAAACGCCCGGGTTCAACACCATCCGCGCCCTTTTGGCGCCTTTGTGCCGCCGCCGAGTATTGCAGCCCAACGGTCGGTGTTTGGCCAAGATACTTGGCCACCCTCATTCCAGCTGCTACCTGCTCCTCATTAGGGCATTGCACAACCCTAGCCAGCTGCCCGGTAGCAAACGCGACGTCCGGTCGGGTGTTTACCGCCGCATACATGAGGCTGCCCACCAACGAGTGAAATCGGCGCCTCCTCTTCACCAACGCTCTCCTCCTCTGGTCCCTTCACACACTTGAACCCAGAGGGAAAGGGTGTAGCCACATGGCCTTCACTCTGCCCAAAGTTGGCAGCCAATGCCTCCAGGTACTTTCGTTGATGCACCCGCATGCACCGCTTCTCCACATCTCGTTCGATGTGGAGCCCAAGGTAGAAGCTCACGTCACCAAGGGCCTTGCACTTGAACTTGTCTTGAAGCTTCAGCATCACCTCCTTCACAAGGTCAGAAGAGGGTGAGAAAATGAGGATGTCATCCACATAAACCACCATGAAACTCCTTTGCTCCCCCTCGCCAAGCATGAACAAGGAGTAATCGGCCGTTGAGGGAGTGAAGACGATCCCCTCCAACACTTCGCGCAGCTTCATGTACCATTGCCTAGGGGCCTGCTTCAGCCCATAGAGGGCCTTCTTCAGCTTCCACACTCTGCCACTACCATCATCAAACCCCTCTGGCTGCGCCATAAAAATCTCCTCCTCAAGGATGCCGTTAAGGAATGCCGTTACGATGTCCATTTGCTTTACTACCCATCCTTTGATGGCGGCTCCCGCGAATAGGGTTCGCAGCGTCGTCGGCTTCACCACAGGGGCAAACAGCTCCTTGAAGTCCACCTTCTCCTTCTGCTGGTACCCCTTGGCTACAAGCCTAGACTTGTAGCGCTCGATCTTGCCGTCGGCATCCGACTTGATTTTGAAGAGCCACTTGGACGTTATCGTCGTACGCCCCTCCGGTAGCTCCACCAATTCAAACGTGTCATTCTCCTCGATGCTCTTCAGCTCACTCTCCATGGCCTTCTTCCACTCCTCAGCATCACTACTCTCCAAAGCCTCCTTGAGAGTTGCTGGTTCTCCCGGCATCTCCACCGGAGAGAAGAACGCGAAGGCACACTCCTCGTAGTCACTCTCCTCGTCGTCTCCGACCATCATTGCCGCTCCGGCCAGGGCTGTCTTGCCCTGCTTTCCCGGCGCATCATAGGTCAGCCTATTAGGGGGTTGAACTCTCCTCTTCCCCCTTCCTTCCTCCTCAGCTGCAGGGACTTGAAGGCCTTGGCGTTGCTGCGGTGTGGCTCGAATCCGTGGAGCACTCGTAGTACGGGAAGGGAGTGACGGTGCACGCTCGCTCACTTGCTGCACCTCCTCCTCTTCTTCCTCTGCATCATTGGCCTCCTCTCCCCCATTCACAAGGGAGGATTGCCTTGTGGTTGTGCTGCCGCTGCTCAGCTCCAAAGGCAGCTCCACATGCTCCAAACCGGAACTCTTCACCTCCCCAAACCGCACGCCTATCTTCGCCTCATTCTCCGCCTTCCAATCCTTGTACATGAAGTTCTCCATGAACTTGCAGTCCCTGCTCACCAAGAACTTCTTGGTGAATGGGTCCCAAAGAAGCCATCCCTTGCTGTTTTGAGCCATGCCCAAGTGCACGGCCCACACCGCCTTGGCACCAAGCTTGTTGTGCCGAAGATGCTTAGGCACGAGCGCCATGCACATGCACCCGAACACCCGAAGCATATCCACCTTTGGCTTCCTTCCTAGCCACTCCACATAGGGCACCCATTTGTCTGCTCCCACATGAGTCAAGGCTCTGTTCTTGGCCACACACGCGCTCCGCACCGCATCCGGCCAGAAATAGTCGGGTAGCCCGGCTTCAATGAGCAACCCGCGTGCCGCCTCCGTGATTGTGCGGTTCGCTCGCTCGGCGATGCCGTTCATTGCAGGGGAGTATGGCATGGTGAGGGAGTGCCGAATACCATTCTTCTTCAGCCACAACCCAAACTCCTTGCTCAGGAACTCTCCCCCTCGATCGGTGCGGATTGACTTGACTAGACGGTCTTGTTGCCGCTCCACCATCGGGAACCAATCCGTCTTCAACGTTTCAGCCACGTCGCTCTTCTTGGCCAGCACGTACACCCATGTCATGCGGGTGTAGACGTCGACAATGGTGAGAAAATACTCAGCTCCAGCAGCTCCAAGCTTCAGGGGGCCCACCACGTCCATCACCACCTCATCAAGCGGTGCCTTTGCCGTTGCCTCCGAACTAGGGAACGGAAACCGGGTGAACTTGGCTTGAATGCACGTCGGGCAGCCAAGCACCTCATCGGGCTCCCCCTTCACACGTATGCCAGCAACCATCTCATTCTTCACTAGCTGCTGCAAGATGGGCAGGGCCACATGCCCCATGCGCCGATGCAAGGTGAGCCAATCACACTCCCCCGTAGCCGAAGTTGGATTGGAGAATGCCGCGCTCGCAATAACGCCCCACATACTCTCTCCGTAGTCCTCCTCCGCTGCTGCCTCTGGGTTCTCCTCACCCTTTTGCTGCTCCTTGGTTGCTGCACCACTCTCCTTAGGTTCACTGAACTTGCTGGTCCCTCCAGGTTTGCTCTTCTTGAGCTCATTCTCCTTAGCGCGACCGTTCGCGCCATCGTCGCTACCGACCGCTCCATCCTTGGTGCTGATGCTTGCTGCCACTTGCCTCTCCTTAGGCATAGGGACCACTGGGATCTGCCACATCTCGTTGTAGACATCCCTGTCCTCATGAAGGTCCCAAAGAATTCGATCGCCAAGCCTTGCGGTGTAGGTCTTGGCTCCCTTCGAGTTCGTGTCCATGCCGGCCTTTGCCAACCGCCGCACGGAAATCAGGTTTGCAGCAAGGCTGGGCACCCAAAGCACGTTCTTGAGGCCCACCATCTTCCCATCAGCACCCTTGAACATGGCCTTGCCCATGCCTTTCACCTCTGCTCGCTGCCCCAAAGCCGATGTGACATGCTTCACCGGTGACGGCTCGAGTTCGGTGAGCAAGTCCGGGCGAGGTGTCATGCTATAGGTAGCGCCACTATCAATCACCCAATAGTCCAGGGGGTGTAGGGTCACCTTCCCCACAGCTGCTGGCTCCTCAAAGCCTTCATCCTTCTCTGGACCAGCCGGTAATTGCGTCGACACGAAGTAGAATAGACCCGGGTATCGATCGTCGCTCGGGTCCTTGTCGTTGTCTCCGCTCTTCATGTTTGCAGCTCCGCCACCGCGACCGCCACGGCCTCCACGGCCTCGTCCTCTCCCTCCTCCTGCTCCTCTACCCTCTTGGCCTTGAGCAGGGGTCCAACCATCAGGGAGTTTGTAGCAGTCGCGCCACATGTGTCCGCTCTTGTGGCAATAGTGACACTCGCCGTCGAATCGGCCGCGACCGCGTCCGTAGCTCTTGTCGTCGCTGCCGTAACCGCCACTCCTGCGGCCTCCGCCGAAGTTGCTGCCACCAAACCTTCCTCCCCCTCGTCCTCTGCCTCTTCCTCGACCATATCCACGGCCGATGCTCACTGCCCCAGCGCCATCCGCACTCGCCAACTCACGGCGGCGGAAATCCTCTTGAAGGATAGCTCGCTTCACGTCTTCAAGCGAGAGGCGGGGCAAGTCGCGATTAAGGTTGATGATGAGCGAGGACCATGACTCTGGGAGTAAGGCCAGCAACTTGGTCTTCTTTTGGAGCTCACTGTAGTTCAAATCAGCTCCCTCAAGCCGCGTCAACAAGTCGAAGAATTTCTGCACCCCTTCTTCAACCGCTTCGTTTTCTTCAATTCGTAGTGCCGCCATTTGCCGTTCCAACACCACCGCTACCGCCGCTGTTGCAGGAGCATGTACACCCTTGAGAGCAGCCCATGCCTTTGGTCCTTTCTCTGGTTCACGCTGGAATGGCTTGATGTGACGGATCTGACTGCTCCCCAACGCTTGCCCAAGTAAGAGATAGCCTTGTGCGCTCTTCCGCACCCACGGGCTCTTCTCCGGGTCGTTCTCGGGGCGCTTCTCCGTTCCTTCCATCACCTCCAGCAGGTCATAGTGGTCAAAGATGTTCTCCATCTTGAAGGACCATTCAGCAAAGTTGTCACCGTTGAACTTGTCAAGCCCAAACACCCTAGGCTCATCCCTAGGTGGGCCAAGACTTGGTTGCATGGGCGCCATGGCTGAATCACGGGGTTGGCCTTGAGCTTGAGCTTCTCCACTGCCACCAGCACCTCTGCCACCCCTTTCCTCAGGTCCAGACATTGTCGAAACTGCTCCAAGGGCCTCTGATACCACTTGTTATAGTCACAATAGGCTTGAATGTGCCTAAAACGAAAGATAGAGAGCACAGACGGATTTCTGCACAGCGGCTTCAAACGTTGATAGCGTTCTGCTCACAGCTGCAAATGACTTGATTCAAATTGGATCTGGAGCGTCTTCACGTCGTCTACAATTATCAATTTAGATTGCACGATTTGATAAAGAATTGACGACACAGCGTCGGTTTGAACGAACGGTACTATGGCAGCCACTATAGTCTTAGAACACAAGATAGGAAGAGTTACGAGTTGGGAATGACTCCCAGCTCCTACAAACCCCAAGAGCCGAGGTACAGTGATGTGGAACAGTGCCACACTGTCCCCAACCACGAAGGGTCTCGAAACTACCCTTCACTAGGGCCTACACCAAGTGAAATGTTACACTACACAAAGTAATGCAACTATCTTCAATATCTTGAGGTGTACCCTTTTGGCAAGCTTCGAAATCACTTGAGGCTTGACACCAAGGCTCGGGCTCTTCATCACAAACTCATCCTTGAGTTCTTGATGGGTTTGCTGCACACACCTGCGACACGCCGAACGTTCGACACAGGACAAAATAGAAACCGCGCACGACAAAATAGAAACCGCGCGCGAGACACAAACGACCGCGTAACACGCGTCTAGCGATAACTCGCTATTGACTCGACACACACACTCGACATCATGACTCAACATTCACACACAATTATAAGCATGAAATATATATTATCCCATGCCCTCATACCATTCCATACACACACACATTCACGCACACGGACAACAAGCCGAGTGCAAACCGTAGGGTTGCACCAACAGAATCTGACTAACAGGCCAACCGTAGTCTGTGATTTAACGACATGTATGGAAGCGGTTTAGTGTTAGGTATCACTTATGAGGATTCTCAAAAGTGACTCACTCACATCATGCACGCATGTGGCTTGTTGTGATATGCAGTTCCTTACATGCATGGAAGTTGCCAATTGTAATGCAAACCGACTAAAAAAATCAGGTCAGCATCAGTGTGACTTACATGTATGGGCCTGCAGCAGTCAACAAGAAAGCAGCAATCGACATGCAACAGTCGATATGCACGGAGAACAAAACAGGAGGCATGGATTTGAAGAAAGGGAGAAGGAACAAGCGAGTGAATGAGTGAGAACAGGTAGGAAACGAAAAAGTGGGAAGAAGAAGAAAAAAAAATCAAAGTGCCAGGAAGAAATAGTAAAACAGAAAATCATGTGCTATCTCAGAGGTTGATATAAATGGCAAAAATTAGGGGCTTCATGTCGTTCCCTCTCCCTCCCTGCCTCCCTCCATCCGCCCACCTCTCCTCTTTTCCTTTATCTCACACACGTACTTATTCACTCACTCTTCCCTCTCTCACCCCTCTTCCCCTCCAACCCTCTTCCCCACTCACCCCTCCTCTCCTCCCCTCCTCTTCCCCCACCTTCTCCCTCTTCTACACTCCCCTCTACCTTCCCATCCCCCCCCTCCCCCCTCTCTCCTCCCCCTTTTCCACCTGGCAGGCCGTTGAGAGCATTGAAGCAGAGGCACGTGTCCTCCACAAGCACTGGACCGTCTACCTGTCACAGTTACATGAAACACCACACACGCACGTTACGAAACACCACATACGTGGGTTACCACGGCACACGGAACAAAATGCACGCAAGCGCGGGCCAGTGAAGACGACCATATCGCTTTTTTAGACAAATCCAAACAAACGTTGCACATCAAAAGGACCGAGCATGCAACTAGATGAGAAGGGGAAAGGCGTCGGGGACGAGCAAGTTATATATTGAGAAGGAGAAGCGAATTGCGGAGAGGCGGAAGGGGGAGGCAGCTACCTTAGCTGCAGCGAGTCTGGCCTTCTCCTTGGAGATGCCTTCCGGCTCGCCCTGTAGCTCTGGTACTGTGATGGAGGAGGGGAGGGTTGAGAGGGTGGAGTGAGTGTGAGCGGGGGAGTGGGGAAGGCACCTATCAGTCTGGCCTTCTCCTTGGAGATGCCTTCCGGCTCGCCCTGTAGCTCTGGTACTGTGATGGAGGAGGGGAGGGTTGAGAGGGTGGAGTGAGTGTGAGCGGGGGAGTGGGGAAGGCACCTATCAGTCTGGCCTTCTCCTTGGAGATGCCTTCCGGCTCGCCCTGTAGCTCTGGTACTGTGATGGAGGAGGGGAGGGTTGAGAGGGTGGAGTGAGTGTGAGCGGGGGAGTGGGGAAGGCACCTATCAGTCTGGCCTTCTCCTTGGAGATGCCTTCCAGCTCGCCCTGTAGCTCTGGTACTGTGATGGAGGAGGGGAGGGTTGAGAGGGTGGAGTGAGTGTGAGCGGGGGAGTGGGGAAGGCACCTATCAGTCTGGCCTTCTCCTTGGAGATGCCTTCCGGCTCGCCCTGTAGCTCTGGTACTGTGATGGAGGAGGGGAGGGTTGAGAGGGTGGAGTGAGTGTGAGCGGGGGAGTGGGGAAGGCACCTATCAGTCTGGCCTTCTCCTTGGAGATGCCTTCCGGCTCGCCCTGTAGCTCTGGTACTGTGATGGAGGAGGGGAGGGTTGAGAGGGTGGAGTGAGTGTAAGCGGGGGAGTGGGGAAGGCACCTATCAGTCTGGCCTTCTCCTTGGAGATGCCTTCCGGCTCGCCCTGTAGCTCTGGTACTGTGATGGAGGAGGGGAGGGTTGAGAGGGTGGAGTGAGTGTGAGCGGGGGAGTGGGGAAGGCACCTATCAGTCTGGCCTTCTCCTTGGAGATGCCTTCCGGCTCGCCCTGTAGCTCTGGTACTGTGATGGAGGAGGGGAGGGTTGAGAGGGTGGAGTGAGTGTGAGCGGGGGAGTGGGGAAGGCACCTATCAGTCTGGCCTTCTCCTTGGAGATGCCTTCCGGCTCGCCCTGTAGCTCTGGTACTGTGATGGAGGAGGGGAGGGTTGAGAGGGTGGAGTGAGTGTGAGCGGGGGAGTGGGGAAGGCACCTATCAGTCTGGCCTTCTCCTTGGAGATGCCTTCCGGCTCGCCCTGTAGCTCTGGTACTGTGATGGAGGAGGGGAGGGTTGAGAGGGTGGAGTGAGTGTGAGCGGGGGAGTGGGGAAGGCACCTATCAGTCTGGCCTTCTCCTTGGAGATGCCTTCCGGCTCGCCCTGTAGCTCTGGTACTGTGATGGAGGAGGGGAGGGTTGAGAGGGTGGAGTGAGTGTGAGCGGGGGAGTGGGGAAGGCACCTATCAGTCTGGCCTTCTCCTTGGAGATGCCTTCCGGCTCGCCCTGTAGCTCTGGTACTGTGATGGAGGAGGGGAGGGTTGAGAGGGTGGAGTGAGTGTGAGCGGGGGAGTGGGGAAGGCACCTATCAGTCTGGCCTTCTCCTTGGAGATGCCTTCCGGCTCGCCCTGTAGCTCTGGTACTGTGATGGAGGAGGGGAGGGTTGAGAGGGTGGAGTGAGTGTGAGCGGGGGAGTGGGGAAGGCACCTATCAGTCTGGCCTTCTCCTTGGAGATGCCTTCCGGCTCGCCCTGTAGCTCTGGTACTGTGATGGAGGAGGGGAGGGTTGAGAGGGTGGAGTGAGTGTGAGCGGGGGAGTGGGGAAGGCACCTATCAGTCTGGCCTTCTCCTTGGAGATGCCTTCCGGCTTGCCCTGTAGCTCTGGTACTGCGATGGACGGAAGGGTGGAGAGATTGTGGAGAAAATGTGGGCATATTGCAAAAAGACCGTGTAGAGAGCGTGAAAACAGTTGGAGGGAATGATTGGAAAAAAGGTGTAATGTGAAAGGAAAAAAGGAACTCTGCAACGCCTGAAATGAGAAAAAGAACCCCCGCAGCTCAGACGCTACAAAGGAGAGGACGAGTCGAGCGGGGAGGGCGGGGGAAGGAGGGGGAGGAGGGGGTGTTTCAGCAGCACAGCGGGAAAAGCGACCCCTCGTTCGGACCCGAAGGCCTGAAATGCAGAATTCTCAAAAGAGAGGATTTAGGAACCCTCGAGGCCGTGGAGAGCTGCTGCAGGAGGACTCTTGAGGCGCCTCTGAAGGAGTATCCTGCGATTACGCTGCGAATCTGCTGCTTTCGTCTCAGAGACGTTTCCGTGGCACTGCTACTACTCCTGTCGCCGAGGTACTGATTCCGTCGCACAGCGACTCACAATCGATCTTCCGGCTTCGCAGGGCGATGGACGACCCGAAGATCGCCTTCACCTCCTCCAGTTTCTTCGCATTGCCCGTCACGAACGTTATCGGGCGAATCACTTTCGCAGCCGCCGCCATCGCCGCGTTACGATCGATCCCGAAGATAACGAGAAAAATCCCCTCCCGGTCGCTCTCGATCTTACCGCCTCAGATCAAGTGGACACACGCGCTACGGGATTCGGGAATTTGGCTTCGGAATTCAGGAGATGGCGTCGGAAGCTCAAAAACAGCAACTCTCGGCACGAAGTTTAGACACCGAAAAGGGTTTAGATGCGTTTTTGTAGAGTGACCAAAACTTTTGAAATCGTCTAACAGCCGGTAAAAGCGCGATACTGTATATCGGAGTTGCTACGACGGATTTTGCGGAAGCAGCATCATGTCACCTCAGCGATTGACACAAACCAGGGTGACACGCGCGAGGGGACTTTTTTCTGCACGAGCGGAAGCCTTACGACGATCGTAAGCTCTTGCGAATTCTGGTTACCGGGATGGTTGCCAAGGGCAAGCCTGTTGAGCCTCGCGCGGTTTGTTATTGGACGTCGCCGTTCCGTCAAACTTCACCCACAGGTTCGGCGCCATGCCAAGCAGCAGTTCCCCCTACAAACGTGTCGCGTTTGCCGAGCCTTATCACACTCAAGGCCAGAGAGCATGCCACGCAAGGGATTCTGGTTGACGCGCGGCGCTGGCCCCTTCTGTCCGAAATTTGCAGGCTGGTTCGGGAATCTAAATGATTGGCGAAAAGGTTGCAGTTCGGCTAACGATGCGAAGCAAGTTGCTCTCACCCGCAGACCTCGCTGTTACACCCTACAGCCAATCAGAGCCCAAATCGAGCCCCTACCAGAAGGCGCCCGAACCTAAACACGACACGAAAGGTGCTTGAGTGAACCCCAGCTCAAGCAACACACAACAGGAAGCTCTTCGTCGTGAGTCGTGACTCGTGAGTCGTGCCGTGCCTCGTGACTACTTCTTACCTTGGATTGCCGTCGTGAGTGCGTTTTGCCGTAGCATCGCTGGCAGCCAAAACTTTCTCGACTCAGCTCAAATGCTGTGCTAGGTCCTTTTCCCAAAAGATAATCTCAGGGAGTGCTACTGAGCCGTTCAATCACCCGCTTCGCAATGATCAACGGTGCTGCGCATAGTGCGCCGAAGGCGGCCGAAGCGCTTCCTTTGACATATCACCCAGTGACTACCTCCTTAAATTCCCTGCCGCAGCTCACGCCTCAAGATAAGCTATTCTTAGCGGCGCGCTGCTTCGTCGTGACGCTCGGTCTGCTCCTCGTAACTTTCCACTTTTTCAAGGACTCTGCCACGTGGCACTCGCCTATTGAGTGGTTAGCGGCAGATTTCCGCCCTTTCGATGCTAATATTTCGGGGAGCGTTTACCAGGAAGGATTTGCGGCTGTATCCATACCTGCTGATTCCCCACCCGCTGTAGCCTTACCTGCTGAATCCGCACCGGCTGTATCCTTACCTGTTGATTCCCCACCGGCTGTATCCTTACCTGTTGATTCCCCACCGGCTGTATCCTTACCTGCTGACTCCCCACCGGCTAAGCCCCCGCCTGAAGGGGATGGCGCTCTCGTCGCTTTCGATCGCGCTTTCGCCGCTCTGATCTCGTTGCAGCGAAAAGCTCGCTTTTCGCTCGCCAATGTCGCGACATTTCATCTCGACCCCTCCGTTACCAGTGCCTCCATCGCCACGCGCTACAAGCTTCTCTCGCTGCCCGTTCCACGTGTGCCCGAGAATCTGACGTGGAGTGACGTGTACCCTGTATGGGTGAACGAATCTGACGCATCCTGCCCAAGAATTCCTGAACTGAACTATCCATATTGGCTGACCAGCATCGACGCCATTGTCGCACATGTGCCCTGCGACGAGCCTAGCGATTCCTGGGCGAAGGATGTTCGCTGGCTACACCACCTTCTCACTATAACAAGCTTCGTCATAGGGGTACTGTATTCTAATCCCCTTCATCGTTCTTGTAGCAGCCTCGCCGCCCGTGGCATGGTTACCAGTCACGTGTCATCCATTATCCCGCTCCCATCCCCCTGTACCGTGGCAAATCGCCCGTGGTTACCAGTGACGCTACTCTCCTCGTGTCGTGTCATCCATTCCCCTTCAGCCAACCCTTATCTCGGTTCCCCTGTTCCACGTTCGCCACCTGTGGTTTCCAGTAGTGTTACCCTCCGCCTTATTCGTCCAATCCCCTTGTACTATCTCTCCTGTAACAGGCGAATCGCACATGGTTACCAGTGGTGTTACTCTCCTCATGCCGCCCGCCGCCCAACCTCTTCCACTGCTCGCGACTCGTGACGCGGGAGGGGGACACGTGGCTGTACAACCTGACGGCCAGTGACATGCTGACACGTGTACAGCCCCTGGGATCATGCTCCATGGCTCAGCCTATCAACAGCAAGGTGGCAGGTAGGAGACAAGAGGCGAGTGGCATAGTCATAGGTTGTCATTGTATTTCTCTCTGTGCCATTGTAACGAGGTGGCTTTTGAGTCGACTCAAAAGTCACCAGAGTCATAAGCTGTCATTGTATTTCTTTCTATGAATGAACTCCCTCCTTCCACGTGCGTCCCTTTCCCCCCCCCCTCAGCCAACCAACGGGTCGCGTATGCTACAGTGCTACACTCGTCGGATCGCTACGTGTGTGGCGCAATAGTACTGGGGCAGAGCATAAGGAGGACGGGCAGCACGCACGAGATGGTTGTGCTTGTATCGAAGGAGATTCAAGAGGAGAGCAGGCGAGGGCTCAAGGAGGCGGGGTGGACGGTGAAGGAGATTGAGAGGATTCGCAACCCCCACGCACTCAATGGGACTTATAACGAGTGGAACTACAGGTCTGTGTGCTTGTACCGGACTACAAGTTTGTGTGCTTGTAGCGAGTGGAGCTAGAGGTATGTGTGCTTATAGCAAGTGGAGGTAAACTTGTGTGTGCTCGTTGATTGGATAAATCCGTGGTAGACCTTGGTCTTTTTTTGAAATATTTGTCTTGGTGAATCTTGTGCCTCTTTCATCCACTTATTTCCTTTCGGAATTACAATTAGCTTGTTTTGTTTTGAACTTCTGAACTTCTTTTTCGGAGTTACAATTAGCTTGTTTTGTTTTGATTATCTGAACTTCTGTAAATGTTTTTGTTTTGTGCCAGGTGCACAGAATTTTATTCTATCAATAACTCATTTGCTTCTGTGCGTTAATATGCCGTCTTCCAGTCTTGTTGACTCATTCTGACATACGCTGACTCGTTTTGCCTTGGTTGACTCTTCTTACCCCCACCCTCTCCCCCCCCTCCTCCCCCCTCTCTCTCCACCCCCTCATCCCCAGCCCCAGCAAGCTGCGGCTGTGGCAGCAGACGGAGTACACTAAGCTGCTCTTCATTGAATCTCGTTGACTTCATTGACCCCCTACGCCCTCCCCTCACCCCACCCTCGCCCTTCACATCACAGCAAGCTGCGGCTGTGGCAGCAGACGGAGTACACCAAGCTGCTCTTCATTGACTCGGACCTGCTCCTCTTGACCAGCGTTGACTTTCTCTTCTCCTACCCCGAGATCTCCGCCCGCGGAAACGACGGCACGGATTTCAACTCAGGCGTGATGGTCTTGGAGCCGTCGGATTGCATGTTTGACCTGCTGATGGCAAATCTGGAGCGCGTGCGATCGGAGAATGGAGGGGACCAGGTGAGACCATGTTGTTATGTCATGTGATGCGACTCCCTACCTAGCACCCCCTTGCAGCGGAAGCCAGGTGAAGGTTCAAAGGGATTTTTTCTTTCTTCTTTTTATAACTTATGTCGAGTGCCTGTTGTAAAGCTGAAAGGAATGCGATAGGTCGACGATGGGGATCATGGGAGACCAAGATGTGATGCGACTCTCTAGCACCCTTCTAGCACCACACTGTTGCAGTCCAAAACGGTGTGAAGCATTCTGAATTGATAGTCAGATCCCTTGGCCATTCCACTAATTTTAGTTTCCATTCAATTATCCTCATACTTCCCCCTGCCCAGGGCTTCTTGAACAACATCTTCACCTGGTGGCACCGCGTACCAGATTCCATAAACATCTTCAAACCTGTCTGGACCTCTGACCCAGTGAAGAAACAAGCTCTCGTCTACATGAAAAGCAGGTGGTTTTCAGAAGACCCTTCAGAAATCCACGCTATACACTACCTTGGTATGAAGCCATGGTGGTGTTACCGTGAGTTTGATTGCAACATTCTGATACCCAAATTTTTTGACTTCACTAATGAGGCAGCTCATAATCGGTGGTGGAGTGCACACGATTCACTGCCAGAGCCACTGAAGCAGTTTTGCTTGATATCAAGTCAAGCAGAGGCGAAGCTGAAGAAGCTGATCGAACAATCCAAGCCAAATCCAGCGCCTTAGTTACTGAATTTCGTAGGTTTAGATTACGATTTGGTTTATCCGGTACTGTATATAAATACTTGTCCTCCCTAGTGTAAAATACATCTACTTTCCTATCTGGACAAGGCAAACCGCTTGTGGAAGGGGGTCCAAGCAACAGAAAGTTACGAAGTAATAGGTTCACAAAAAGGTGTTGCGGTATGTCAAATGTTAATGTTATGATAGGCTGCAGTGAGGTACTCCCTAGAGAGTATAGCTTTTGTAGGATTCCTATTTGTACCCTTGCAAACCCTAATTCCAATTATTCCGTTGTGCTCCATTCTTGAGATGGTATCATGAGTAGGTCGTTCCTAGCCTAGCCCTCCGTGCGACTAGCGCCCTCCGCGCCCTCCGTCGCTCCTAGCCCTCCGTGCGCCTAGCGCCCTCCGCGCCCTCCGTGCGCCTAGCCCTCCGTGCGTCTCGCACCCTCCGTGCGCCTAGCGCCCTCCGTGCGCCTAGCGCCCTCCGTGCGCCCTAGCCCGTCGCCTCGGCCCCGCGACCTAGCCCGCGCCCTCGCCGTCGCGTCGGCCTCGCGCCCTAGGAACGCCACCCGCACCCTAGCCCGCGGCCCCCCCTACGCGCACCTCCGCGCTTCCCGCGCATCCAAGCTCGCGCCCGCCGCGCCCCTTAGTGCGGCCCGCAATCTCGCCCGCGGCCCACCCACGCGCCTCTCCGCGCCCCTCCGCGCGTCCCCGCGCGCCCTTCACCGTCGCACCCTCCTCCCGCTCGCTCCCACCGTCGCATTTGTCCTCCCCGCCCATTTCCCACCGTCAGATCCTCCTCCCGCCCATTCTCACCGTCGCATTCGGCCTCCCCGCCCCTCTCTCACTGTTCATCACCTTAGCCCCACCACCGCCTTGTGCGCGGGGCCCTCCCCAGCTCTGCTGACACTGGTCTATCCCTCAGCGGCTGGCAGCCGCTCTCTCTCGCCGGTCACCTAGGTTAGAGCCGTTTTAGCCGCTCATACCTCGGTCCTCGCACCTGTAGCTGGCGATCCACGATTTCACGCCTAGTCTAGGTCGCTCGGTACTCCTAGTCTCTCGCTCCGCCGCTTTCTCTCCTGGCGCTCCGTAGTTTTCCTCCTCGTTCTTAGCTCCGCCTCCGCCGTTCTCCAGCCGCCTCTAGCATGGGCTCCGCTATGGAGGCCCGTCGCCTCCGTTTCGATGCGGAGGGACGCCCGATCGAGTTCGGTACCTGGCAGCGCCAGACCACACGTTTCCTCACCAGCCAGCGTCAGGACGGCGCCACTCTGTGGGCCCACGCGTCGGGTGCTCTCGCGGCACCCCCGTCCCCCGCCGCCCTGCCGACCGCCCCGGAGCCGGCTCCTACGGCCCAGGCGGACTACGACCGTCGGGTCCTGGCTCGGGACGTGTGGCTCTCTCGTGACGCGGCCGCCGCCCTCACGCTATCGGAGCTTCTCCCCACGACTGAGGCCGCTCACTTTGACCAGGTGGAGACAGCCAAGGGGGTTTGGGATGCTATTGTGGCTCGCTATTCCACCCCCTCCTCCGCCTCCCTCAGTCCCCTCCTCATGCCGTTCGTGCTTCCCGACCTAGGCTCGTTTGCGACTATTTCCGACCTAGTGACTCACCTCCGCTCGCTTGACGCCGGTTTTCGTTCGGCCTGTACCGACGCACAGCTCCTTGTTGCTCCCCCCCCCATGTGGCTCACTGTGCACTGGTTAGTCACCCGCCTCCCTGACCGCCTTGCCACTGCCCGCGACGCGCTTCTTCAGAAGCACCCCACTGAACTCACTGTAGACCTCCTTCAGACTGCTCTCGGGACCATCGCGAGCAGCCTCCTCACCGTTGCCTCCGCCACTGATGCGGTGGCCCCCCGTCTCTTTGCGGGGTGTGCCGCCCCTCAGCTTCCCACTTTCACCGCTACCCGCGCTTCTGCGGCTGTGTCGGTCTCTGAGGACACCGCTGCCGTTTCTGCCGCAGACTGGCAGAAACGGGGCAAGAGTGGCAAGAAGGGCGAAAGGGGGGAGGTGGGGGCGGAGGAGGCGGCGGTGGAGGGGGCGGTGGAGGTGGGAGCGGCGGTGGTGGCGGAGGCGGCGGCGGCGGCGGCGGTGATGCACCAGGAGGAGGGGGCCTTGGAGGAGGCGCAGGACAGACAGGTCCACCCACAGGTGGTGGCCCGACCGGTGGGGGTGTTGCCCCCCAGTAGCAGCAGCCACAGCAGCACCAGCCACAGCAGGGACAACAGCAGCAGCAGGCACCGCAGCAGTTCCAGCAGTGGGGGCCCCCGCTGCAGTGGGGTCCGCAGCAGCACTGGGGTCCCCCGCCGCAGTGGGGTCCGGGAGGCCCTGGGAGCACCGGCCGCAGCGGCAGCTCTTCCAGCTGGGCCCCTCGCCCCCCTCGCCGTGACGCTGGCCCCTGCACCCACTGGTGCCTCACCGGGCCGGGCAGCCCCTGTCTCTGTGGTCGCGACGACCACTCTGCCGCGCGGTGCTTCCGCCGCCTCGACGGCCTCTACCGGGCTCGTTGGGGCCCTCTGGCGGTCACGCCTCGCTGGTCTCGTCTGTTAGCCCGTAAGATTGATGTCTTTGATCTGTCCATGGACGATGCGCGTCAGCATGCTTTGTATGTTGATGCTGACTTTAGTGCTGATGGATCTGTGTGCTCGCGTGTTCATAGTTTAGCCTGCTTGCCTCCTGCTCGTGTAGCCTTGTGCCTGTCTAGCTTAGGTGCTTGTGTTGCTGCTCTAGGTGCTTGTGTAGCGACTGGGTCAGGTGACCCTCCGGCTGAGGCCTCTCTGTCGTTCACGCTGGGCTCGGGTGCGTCTCAGTGTTTCTTCCGCGACCACACGACCCTTACGCCACTCCTCACTCCTGTGTCAGTGGCTCTGGCTGATCCTACCTCTGGACCCGTTGCGCGTAGCTCCACCACCCTCCCGTGCCCTGTGGTCCCCTCTGGTGTCCTGCGCGGCCTCCACATCCCCTCATTCACTCGGAACTTGGTGGGTCTTGGATACCTCCAGGACAGGGGGATCACGGTTACCTTCATGGGGGGTGGGCGGACTGCAGTCTGTACAGACGCTACCACAGGTGCTGTTCTGGCCACGTTCACCAGGGAGCCCCGCTCCGGCCTCTACGTTTTCCACACCGAGCGCTCCCCGGTCGCGTCCTCCCCTCAGGTCGTTGCGTCCCCTCCGGCCCAGGTCCCCAGTCCAGTTGCTGTGTCTAGCCAGGTAGTCGTGTCCGGTCCGGTCGCTGTGTCCAGTCCAGTCGCTGCGTCTTGCTCCTGTCGCTCTCTCGCCCACCGCACCGTCCTGTGGCACCACCGCCTTGGCCACCCGTCGATCCCTCGCCTTCGTGGCATGCTCAGTCGGGGACTTGTCACAGGTCTCCCACGCACCTTCCCGTCGCTCCCTCCCTCGCTTGCCCCTCCTTGCTCTCCGTGCGTCGCCGGTCGCTTACGCCCCACTCCCCACTCCTCCTCCCTTCGTCCGGCCACCGCTCCCTTCGAGACTCTCCACTTGGACGTCTGGGGCCCTGCCCCGACGCAGGGGTCTGGGAGGGAGCGTTACTTTCTGGTGGTCGTCGACGACTCCTCCAGGTACACCACAGTGTTCCCTCTTGCGAAGAAGTCCGAGGTGACTGCTACGCTGATCAGGAGGCTTCTAGCCACTGAGGGCACTCGTGGTCGTCGAGTCAGTTGTCTCCACTCCGACCGTGGGGGCGAGTTTCGCTCCGGCATTCTCGGCGGATTCTGCGACGAGCAGGGCCTTGTACAGTCCTGGACGCTGCCAGAGTCCCCACAGCAGAATGGGGTTGCTGAGCGCCGCATAGGCTTGGTCATGGACATCGCCCGCACGTCCATGATCCATGCCCGTGCGCCCCATTTTCTGTGGCCCCATGCGGTTCGCTACGCCGCACACCAGCTGAACCTCCAGCCGCGTGTCTCGCGGCCCGAGGCTTCACCGACCAGTCTTTGGACTGGTTCCCCAGGTGTTGGGTCGGCCTTTCGAGTCTGGGGCTGCCTTGCGCTTGTTCGCAACTCCTCCGCGGACAAGCTCTCGGCTCGCGCCGTCCCCTGTGTCTTCCTTGGTTTCCCAGTGGACTCTGCCGACTGGTCCTTTTACCACCCGCCCCTCCACCAGTTCCTAGACTCCCGTGACGTCCGGTTTGACGAGTCTGTGTCCTACTACACCCGGTACCCCTGTCGAGGTCTCCCGGTACCCCCTCCCCCCCTTTTCCTAGCACCCTCTCCTCCTCCTGCTCCTGCTCCTCCGGTACCCCCGCCCCCCCCTGGTCCTGCCCCGTCTGGTGTGTCCCACGCTACCCCTCTACCCTCGGTCGCG